CCAGCCCCCCGCTCCCTCCGCTGGCTCCGCCCCGGCCTCCACGGGCCCCTGCTCCTCCTCCCAGGCTGCCTCCTCCCAGGCTGCCGCCGCCGCTGCCGCCGCCGCTGTAGCTGCTGGTGTTGTGGACCATCTCTGCAAAGAGCAATTGCGGTCAGGGCACGCAGACCCCAACCCGCAGTCCCCGGAGCTTCCCTCATCTGCCCGCTGTACCACTGAGCTGAGCATGCGAAGAGCCCAGAGGGCAGACTTCAAGAAGGGGAGAGACGAGGAGAGGAGGGTAGGCTCTTCTGGGACCACCCCCCAGCCTGTGGATAGGGTGACCTGAGGCCCAGGTTTGAGACACATTATTCCAAGACAGGGGCTCCTTCCCAGAGAAAGAGTACTCACCGATGCTCACGGCACTCTGGCACTCTCCCGACATCCTGTTGGGAACACCAGGCCTCAGGGTAGGCTCTGCCTCTCCCTGCCTGCTCCTTCCTTAGGTCAGGAGCAGTGAAAGCCTCTATGCTCTACCCCCATGCACCATCCCCGCCAACAACTCCTTGGCTGATGTTGAGAATAAGAAGCAGGCTGGGCAGTTGCTCAAAAAGTCTTTTTCTCCTACTGAGTAAAACTGGACTAAAAGTGTTACTGTTCCCCCCAGCACTTTCCCAGGGAGTAACAAACCAGGGGGTCCTTCCTGGGCCTAACCATTCTCACCCCACTTCTTAAGATCCTTTTTACTCGCTCAACATTATTTGAACCCACATAGGCCAGATCCCTGTACCCACAGGCCAGCATACTGGAACTCACTCTTCAAACACCTACAATTAAGGCAGTAATAAACACCCTAGAAATAATATTGGCATCTACGAGTCCTCCCTTTTGTAGACATATTTTATGGCTAAAACATGGGTGTTTGGATGGGAAATCTACCCCAGATAAGTTGCTGGCAGTGTCAAGAATGCATAGGAAACTCAGATCTCTCAGAAGCTTGGCAACACCTTGCAGCCATCTGCCTCCCAGGGCCACCAGCACGTCCAACAGCACATACCCACTGCACCTGGCAGGAGGCTCAGGCAAGAAGAGGCTTCCAGGCCTCTTGGGACTCTCACCTGCACTCCTCGCCCTCCAGGAGGGTTCGGTAGGTGGCAATCTCAATATCCAGGGCCAGTTTGACACTCATCAGCTCCTGGTACTCGCGCAGCAGCCGGGCCAGATCCTCCTTGGCCTGCTGCAGGGCGACCTTGAGGTCCTGAAGCTTGGCATTAGCATCCTTGAGGGCCACTTCTCCACGCTGTTCTGCATCAGCGATGGCCGTCTGCAGGTTGGCGTTCTGGGTGTGGGGGAGCCAAGAGCTCAGTTGAGATTCAAGCACCATTCTCTGAGGGCCTGCCCTGGCTGCTCAGTGCCTGCGCGTGCATTACCTGATTCTGGGCCAATGAGAACACTCCAGCCCACATGCTTAGAGCCTGGTCAGTGGCAAAGCCTGGGCTTGCATCTAGGTCTCAGCATGCCGAGGCATGGGACTGGTAACACCTGCCTCAAAGACCTAGCCCAGCTCAGGAGTCAGTCCCTTTCTGGACCTCACTCCCCTTTTGTGGTAAGTGAGCATCTTTTGACAACATCCTTCCTCCAGGAAGGCTTCCTGGAATATCAGAGAAATCTTCTCTGACCTAGACCATCTAGCTATGGGCTTCCTTAACCACTCTCCTGTCTCAGTCTTCACACAATTAATGTCTTTCTTCAGCCTCCCTGAGAATGTTTGTACTCAGTATTTCTAGCCCACATCAGGCTTCAAATGCCAGAAAGGCAAGACCGGGGTCCATGTGATAACCTTTGTTCAGTGCCCAGCCCCGAACTGCACCGGGTAAATCTTAGTGTGTGTGGTGATGGGCACACTAGACTTCACTTCTAACAAACACCGAGCCTGAGTTTTGTCATGGACGCCTAAGCCCACACTCTTGGGTGTGTGCTCTTCTTCCTCGTTCCCACCTGCTTCTTGACACTCTCGATCTCAGCCCGCAGCCTCTGGATCATCCTGTTGAGCTCCGAGATCTCAGTCTTGGTGTTCCTCAGGTCATCCCCGTGCCTGCCAGCCGTAGTCTGCAGCTCTCCCAACTGTGTCCAGAAAAGAGTCACACCTTCAGAGAGCCAGCAGGGCCACCTCCTCCAACCCCTTCATGCCACAAATGGAAAACTGAAAATACAGACGTGCGCGAGGCCATCCAGCTGGAGGAACCCCGTGCTCCCTTTCCCACATCAGAGGACCTGCCTTCTAACACAGGAGCTGCGCTTGTCAGGTGGTCACTGTGCACCAGGCCCTCGGCTTCATCTCAGTAACCCTCACCACTACCTGGTGAGAGCCTCATTCCTGCCCCCATGTAATGAAAGGGAGAACTGAGGCACAGGTTGCCTGAGTACTATGACCAAAGTCTCCCAGCCAGGGTGACAATGTTGGGACTTGAATGCACACATTCAGATGCTGAAGCCATTGTCTTAACCAGCAGGCTGTGCTTCCTCGGGCAGAATATCGGGAGGAGAGTGCGGTGTGATGGACCAGCTATGGCCTTTTCCAACTTGGGAGAGGGGAGGAAGGTGTAGAGAATTCCCTGAGCCTGTGGAGCTAGGCTCACTTGGTTCTGTGTTAGACACACCGTGTTTTCTGTGTCTCCCCACCTCAACCCAACCCTTCCCTTGGCTATTCCAGACCCCGGTGTCAATACTTCTGTGTGATGAAAGCAGACGTACACATTGAAGCAGAGCCAGATCAGTGGAAGAGAAATGGAGGAGTTTCTAAGACTCAAAAACAATAAAGGAATAGCAAGAGGGAGTTAGGGCAAAGACGTCTCAGCCAGGGCATTACTGATGTTCCGGGCAGGATATTCTTTCTTGCAGAGGATGGGAATCTCTGCCTCACAGGATGTTAAGCAGCATCTTAGAAGCCAGTAACACCCTCAGCTCACTTTCAAAGGTGACGACCACGACTGCAGACATCACCAATGTCTCCTGGGGAGAAGGTGTACCTTCCTCTCCCCCTGCTGAGAAGCACTGGATGAGAGCAGAGTCAGCACTCCGACCAGGAAGAAAGATTGCCAACGGCAAGACCAATGGTGAGGGAACCGCCATACCGGTGTACAGAAGACTGGCTCAGAGGCCGGGTCTACCTTCCTGGGTGCATGGTCTGGACAGGCTGGTGGGGGAGGCAAATTCTCCAAAACTACCTGACGGCGTCACCCACCTTGCTCTGGTACAGCGCCTCGGCCTCTGCCTTGCTCCTCTGGGCGATCTCCTCATACTGGGCGCGGACCTCGGCGATGATGCTGTCCAGGTCCAGGCAGCGGTTGTTGTCCATGGACAGCACCACGGACGTGTCGCTGGTGTCAGACTGCATCTGGGACAGCTCCTGCAGGGCCAGGCAGACATGCTAAATCCCGAGCAGACCCACATCAGGGCTCCCTATGGTGTAGGGAGCCACCAGCTCCAGAAAGGGTGTTCAGGACTGACTAGGGAACAGCACCAGGGACTTTTCCAGAAGGCAATGGCCGCCTCGATCTCAGAAGAAGGAAGGTGGGAAGGCAGAGGTTTGATCGGCCTGGGAGAAAGCAGGACTACCCACCAAGGCGAGCAGGTGCCGCTCCGGTCAGGACCGACAGACTCAGACTCCTGCTTGTAACCCCCATGTGCCCTCTCCTCTAGGAGGCAGGAGGCAGGTGGGCCCCAGGCTTGGCCATCAGCAGAGACTTACAGCATCGTAGAGGGCCTTCAGGAAGTTGATCTCGTCTGTCACACTCATCACCTTGGCCTCCAGCTCCACTTTGGTCATGTAGGCAGCATCGACATCCTGGGAGAGAATTCAGTCACTGTCCCCTCAAACCTGTGGCTCCAGGGGAAGCAACAAGAGGCAAGACCACAAGGTCCTGCCCTGCCAGAGCTCCCACTCTGGGGACGTAAGACACCCGTCCAGGCATGGGGGGGTCACTCCTAACATTAGGAAGCAGAGATCCTGCAGGTGGGCTGGAGAGACTTCAGGGAAGAGCAAAAAGGGTCAAGAAGGTGAGTGAGGGGATATGGACTGGGGCTGGGGCCATTGCACTAAGGTCAGGTAAGAATTTGTGAGGGGTCTGAGGGAGGATTTTAATTTGCCGCTCTCGGAGCCTCTTTTCCTAAATGACATATGGACATGCACTCCTAATAAGGAGAAAAAAAAGAAAAGAAAAAACCTTTGTCTTGTCTTTGTCCATTTTCTAATCACATCTCAGGCCTTAATCAGATTCACAAATGTCATCAGGAAAAGACATGGCAAAAGTCCGGTGGCCCCTTTATACTCTTCAGGGTGTGGGAGGTGGGAGCAGGGAACACCCAACCTGCCCTTCCCCCTGCCATCTGGGGACTCTCTGTTCCTTACTCACAGGGCCTCAGAGAGGTCCTCAGCATTACAGGACTCAGGTTCTGCCTCCCACCCTCGAACTACTGTTCGGCAGGGTTTGGGCGCCCCTCACCTTCTTCAGGACCACGAAGTCGTTCTCGGCAGCTGTGCGCTTGTTGATCTCCTCTTCATACCTGTAGGAGACAGTCACTCTCACCTCTGCCTTCTCTGAGTCCCTGTGGGTCCCCGTGGCCCCAGAGCATTTCCGAAAAGCAACATGGACTTGGGGCTCCTTGTTCTGCCAGTTTAACTGAAGGTCTGTGTCTCTGCCTCTGGGGTTCAGGTGAGACCCAGCTCCTTCTACAGACGTTTATTAAGCACTGACTGTGTGCCAGGTACCACTTGATAATGGTGATGGTGATTAGTGAGCTCCAGACAGCTCCTTGGAGAAATTCAGATTTTTTTCAATCGTGTGACCGTAGCTGAGTCGCTACGAGCTTTCAGGAGAATGTCCTGGTGCCAGCCCTGTACAAACACAGCAGCCCCATGGACTCCCAGGAGATGCTTACTGAATGGTCGACAGGAACGAGCCAGGTCCGGCTCCATGAATCATACTCGTACTAGCTCATGGAACCCTTTACAACTGGTAAAATCAATGCTGCCACGCTCTTGTTCTACAGATGAGGGACTGAGGCCCAGAGGAGTGAAAGAACTTGCCCGAGATCACAGGGCTGAGAAATGGCAGGATGGGGCGTAATGAAGGCTCCAAATTTTAGGGCCTGTGCCCTTGACCATATAGCAAGTTGCTTCTCATTTCAGTGCCTGCAAACAGGGAAAACGAAACTGCACAGACGGCAGAGTTGAAGGGGCACTTGGAAATGATCTAGTCCAAGGATGGTGGAGAATGTTACCTGGTTCTATAAGGTTTATGAATGAATTTCAGGGTATCTTAGAAGCCCCCGAACTTCACTAGATATATGATAGATAGATAGATAGATAGATAGATAGATAGATAGATAGATATAGATAGATGATAGATAGATAGATGATAGATAGATAGATAGATAGATAGATAGATAGATAGATAGATAGATAGATAGATATAGATAGATGATAGATAGATAGATAGATGATAGATAGATAGATAGATAGATAGATAGATAGATAGATAGATAGATAGATATAGATAGATGATAGATAGATAGATAGATGATAGATAGATAGATAGATAGATGATAGATATAGATAGATGATACATAGATAGATAATACATAGATAGATAGATACAGATAGATATAGATAGATAGACAGACTGACAGAGAGACATATTGTGTGTCTACATATATACTCTTTTGTTAAATTCCCAAAATGATTTTTGCCCCAAACAAAACATGAGTCCCATTTTGAAGACTGGGATATTAGAGTCAGTGGAAATAGGTTACACTCTTAAGAACTGGAAACCAGGTGGGAAAAAGCTGACCTGAAGCCCAGTGTCCTGGATCATAGGCCAGGGCTCTTGTCATCTGCCCCACCCTCCACCCCTCCTCGCCCACCCCTGGGAACTGGGCAGCACATACCTCTTCTTGAAGTCCTCCACCAACTCCTGCATGCTCCTCAGCTCCCCTTCCTGCCTTTTCTTCTCATTGTGCAGCCCATCTAGGTAGGCCTTGAGGCTGCTGATGTAGTTCTCAAAGAAAGGCTCGAGGTTGTGGTCGTTGGTGTTAGAACCAGAGCCCTGCTCCTGCAGGAGGCTCCACTTGGTCTCCAGGACCTGGTTCTGCTGCTCCAGGAACCGCACCTGCAGCCCAGTCAGGGAAGAGCACTCAGAGGCTGTGTGGGGCCAGCTCCAATCACGACAGCTCATGACTTCCCCAGAAACCAAGTCCCAGCCCTGTCTCTCCTGTGGGACTGCGTTTTAATGCCGCCATGCTTTAGTGCTAACACCATGGAAACAGCAGAGTTGGTGTGATGCAGGGCAGGTAGAGCGCTATTTAGCAGGTAAAGAAACCAAAGCCCAGAGATAACCAAGGTCACACAACAAGTTAGTGACAAAAGAGCAGCAGGACTTGGCTCTTCTGATGAATAGGCTTGATGGCCTCCCGTCATGTCACTCATTCACCAGTCATTTACTTCTCGGAGGCCAGCAGGAGACCCCAGCGCCCTACGGCAGGAGCAGTCTCCAGGAAGATGGTTAAGTCCTGGGAGCACTGGCCAAAGCCGGGAAACAGAAAACCTTGGGGAAATGGCACTCGGGCAGACCTTTTCCCAAGAGCAATGGTCGTAGATGCACCTGCCGTCGGCCCCTCAGCCACTTCTGACTCCTAAGCTCTGCGTTTAAACTCAACCACTGATTAAAGGTGCCCCACACTTTTGTTTGTTACAAAACAAACCCTCAGTTCAAGGCCAAACATATAAGCAGGTAGAGTAAATATCAGTCATTCAACAAACATTTGCAGAGCACAAGCATGTGCCGGGACATGCTGGACACTTGGGAGTCCAAGTCCTAGGTGTCCTCCTTTAAGGACAAAAAAGAATTGCTGCTGGGAAGACCTGGAGCAGCCAACCACACATGATGGGGTGTAGCATTTTCAACATCGCTTTCCACTTTTCCATGACAGAATTTATCCAGACACCCAAGTGTTTGCCGGAAACCAGTTAGATATCTCCAGCAGGTCACTTAGCTTGCAAGAGCTTCATCTCTAAAAAGGTGGTTGTCCCAATAATAAGATTAATTCTTCTGCTGCTTTGCCTAGGACACTGACATCTGATGAGGGGACCTCCGAAGAGTCTCAACAAGTCCTTTCTCTAAGGCCTAATATTGGATTGTCTGAAAAGCCATGATGCATTTTTTCATAGAAAAACAGAAAAATACATACTGACTTTTCCAATAGCCTAATATTATTATTCCAGATTACAAAGTGATCCCCAAGATACAAATCCAGCTTTGGCAGTCAGACTCTCTTTCAGAGATGAGCACTCCTCTGGGATGGAGAGGGAATTCTGTGTTTGGGTTCAGAGGTCAACAGAGATAGGACATCGATGGTGGCAGTAAGCATCCCAGGAACAACTGTCTCAGCAGCCCCTCTGATGAGCCACGGGAAGGGGGTGTACAGAGGGGACAACTCCGCCCAATGAGGGGTTGCAGAATTTGGATCCTCTGTTGCTACATTGAAAGTCCTACTCCCTGCTGAGCTGCCATAGGGGAGTTGAGGGCTAGGATGAACCTGCATCTCCTTCTTCAGATTTAGAAGGAGAAGAGCAAACAGAGACCAATCCAGCTAGGCCAGATTTCCTGCTGTTCAACTGTCCTGAGACTGGCTCACCTTGTCGATGAAGGAGGCGAACTTGTTGTTGAGGGTCTTGATCTGCTCCCGTTCCTGGGCCTTTACTTGCCCAATCTGGGGGTCGATCTCCACATTGAGAGGCTGCAGGAGGCTCTGGTTGACAGTCACTTCATGGATTCCCCCAGGGAAGCCACCAGGGCCACCTGGACCACCAGGACCACCAAAGCCACCAGGACCACCAAAGCCACCAGGACCACCAAAGCCACCAGCTCCACCAAAGCCACCAGAGCCACCAAAGCCACCAGAGCCACCAAAGCCACCAGCTCCTCCAAAGCCACCAGCTCCTCCACCGAAACCTCTGGCTCCTCCCCCGAAGCCCCCGGCTCTTCCCCCGAAGCCTCCACTCATTCCTCTTCCACCACCACCAAAGCCACTGCCTCCAAAGCATCCCCCACCAGCCCCACCAAACCCGCCACCCCGGGTGCTGCCTCCAGCCACGCTGATGGAGATCCTCTTGTTGCCCCCAAGATTGTGGAGACTCCTGCTGCCAAAACCTCCTCCCATCAAGGCACAGGCAGCAGACCCACTGCTACCCCCTCCTGAGCGTGAGGCCGATGAGGACTTGGTGGAGCTGATCCGGCTCTGGCCGGACACCACAGCTGAATGGCCGCTGAAGCCCTGGCGGCGGCCCCCACTGGAAGACCTACAGGACTGCTGGCTGTAGCTCGCCTGGCGACTCATGATGGACGGCAAGGTATTCCAAAGGATGGATAGATGCAGAAGGCTGAAGGAACTCAGAAAGCTTCCAAAGCTCTGGGTCAGGGATGGTCCTTATATAGGGCCAGGGAGCTTGGCTTGGCTGGTGCCAGCCAACTAATTTGAGGTATTATCAGCTTTGCTTTGCCTGGCAGCAAGAGGTCGAGTCCAAAACTCCTAACACACCTTGATAATCACCCCAAATTCCCAAATTGCTTTGTTTTCCCAGGTTACTCACCAGAAATAAGCTTAAATTGGGAGAGGGGCCATCCTTCAGGGCTGGACACAGCCCCTAATCCCTGAGAGACTTATGCTCCCCTCCTGGGAGTGCCAGGTCAGCAGTTCTGTGCCTGTCCTGCAACCCCATGGCCACTGTGACAGCCTAGCCAGCCCCAGGAGTGACTGGGATGAGTGCAGAGCTCCAGCGAGGGCAGGGCCCCAGGTGAGAACCTCAGGGAGAAGAGAAGGGAGGAGAGGACTGGAAAGAAGACTGAGGTTGAAAAGTCAGAGAATGCACAGTGGCTGCCTCTGGGATCTCTCCCCAGGAACGAGAAGGTGCACATGTGAAATAAATGAGGGGGCAAGTTCTCCACCCAGGGCACCAGTCTGAGGGGCTCTGGAGGGCTAGCTGGGGTGGGGGAGAGTCCATCTGAGAAGGCCGGGCATGAGCAGCAGTTTGAGAGGAAGTCAAGGCTGCGGCCAGATATCCTGGCCAAGAGTGCACAGGCAGGGAGGGGGAAGGCCAATCCAGGCAGGGAAGCCGGGAGATCACCTGGCCCAGGCCACAGAGGCCATGGGCCTTCGTCCTCCATGCTTGTGAAAGGAAAAGGAATCTGGATTTCCAAGGCCCCCTTCCCTCAGCTCAGTGAGAGACACCACCTACAGTACCTGGGCAGCTTGGATCCCAGTAAAGGCCAGGAATAATGATGGCTTGTTCCTAAGGCTGTGGAGAGGTAGCATATGAGAAAAGTTCTTTGCAAATTGCCCTGTGTGGTAGAAAATGTCAGTCACTTTTATCACGTTTGCCTTTGCCTCCCTTCCACAGCATGGACCACTCTGCTGACTGCAACCCTGACAGCAAAACCCTAGGTGCTCTGGAAAATGAGTTTCTGCAGAGGCCAGCCCCCTTTAAAATGGTCCTTCCCTTTTTCCTCTTCCAGGTTGACCTCCCACGTCCCTCCCACGCACACTCCTCCAAGAATTCTGCTCTCTTGATCTCACCTCTGCCCTTTGTTCACTTCTCCTTCTGGGCCACTCCACACCTCCACCTTCCCTTGCAAGTTAACTAGCAAGAGGGCCAATTCAAACCAGGGGCCCACCAAGCCTCCAAACACTTCCTGTTCCCTTTGAGCACACCAAGTCACACAAGACCCTCCAGGAAGGTGAGCTAAGAAAGTGTGGCCAGGGGGCAGTAGATGGCATAGTGGTTTCATCGCCGGACTCTCGCATGGCCGTGGTTCGAGTCCTGGGCCGGGTGGCTTGAAACTCACACCCAGTGCATGTGGATGTGCATGTGTGCCCAAGATCCCAGGAGAAGGATGGAGGAGAAGGGATCGTAGTAGTAGCCCCCTCAGGGGGGTGGTGATTTCTCACTTTCCCTCTTATTGTCTGTCTTTCTCTCCGAGCAAGTGCATGCGCCCTAAGGCAAAAAACCTCTTTTAAAAAAAAAAAAAAAGTGTAGAAAGGCAGGGTCATCGCAAAACCGCAGGTGCACCCACAAAACCAGACACTGCTGTCATGGCTCCCTGTTCACAGCTAACTTCCCTTTGCAGCCATTCATGCCCCAGAGATGCACACTGCCCTCACGCTCTCTTAAAACCTTGGTGCTGGGACCAGCATAATGGTTATGTCACTGGACTTCCATGTAGTCGACCACAGTTCGAGTCCTGGACCTAGTGACTTGAAAGTCACACCAGGCATGTGTGTATGCGTGCCCAAATTCCCAAGAGACTAATGGAGGAGAAGGGATTGCAGCATGGCCATTCCTCCTGGGGGGGTCATTTCTCACTTTCCGTCTCTGTTTCTCTGTCTCTTCATGAGCACACGCATCCTATAGTAAAAATCTCTCTTATAAAATCAGAAACTTTGGTGTCTACCCCCTCCACAGGGCCCTGGTTCTTTCCCAAAATTTCTCATTAATCTAAGAAACCCAGATCCAGCAAATGGATCCAAATAGGGGCACAGGCTGAGCGAAAAGCCAGGCCCCATTTGACTCCGTCACTAATGGAGGCTGCTCCTTGCTGGGCCTCGGCACCCTCCTCTGCACCACAGGACTTCACATTTGTGAGGAGTTTCATGCTGGACTTACCAAAGCCCAGGCTCAAAGGAGGCCTGGAGGCAGGAGAAAGACGTACCACCAGACAGTATCTCATCCCAGCCCTTTCATGCTGATCTCCAGAAGAAAAGACTGCTGTTTATAAACAACTCTGGGGCCAGTCCATGGCCCGGTGGTTAAGGGCCTAGATCTCACATGGCCACAAGAAGAATTCAAATCATGGTTTGAGTCTCAGACGCAGTAGCTTCAAAAACACATCAGGCCTGTATGCACATGTGTCCAAAATCCCAAAAGGGGGGAGAAACAGAGGTGAAGGGATGGGGCAAGAACCCTTCTCTCCTGATCTCACTTTTGAGAGCATTCTCTATAGTGATGGTGGGGGGTACCCTCTCACTTTCCTGCTCTCTCTCTGTGGCTCTCTCTGTGGCTCTCTGGTGAGTGCACACACCCTCTTGCAAATTGAAAAAGAAATTGGAAACTCCTAGGCTGAAGGCTTTCTCAGGTCACTTCCACACTGACATCTGTGACACAGGGTAGAGTCCAGCCTGGGGAAGGTGGGGGGCGCGGGTGGGAGGGAGCGGTTAACTACACAACACACAAAGCTGCCCTCTGCTCTCAGGTGGGGCTGTTTCTAACTCCAAAACCCAAATAGCACCTTGGGTCCCAAGTATGGCCTATGCCTTCATCCACAGAGCCCCGGGAGCAAATGAGGGATTCCTGTCCACACTTCGAGTTGTTTCAGATCTTTACTACATTACAGAGCAATTATCCGGTTTCTACTCTTCAGCAGCTGCCAATAACCTGGCCCAGTGTGAATATGCTGAGAAGTCAGTTCTCACTTTGAACATCAAGAACAAATTCAGCGTAACAAAGACTGGGGTGGAAGTTTGGCACTGTAATGAGGGCCCGTCCCAAATCCCTTCATTAGCACAGGTTAATCGCATTGCTAATCCCCTGAGCCTGCCGACCATATAACCCCAACCGCTCTCCTCCACTGGCTCTTTGGGAGAGAGCAGGCTGCGGGCTGCGGAGTCACCAGCACTGGAATCAGCCCAGATGGCCCTTCCTGGAGGTGAGGGCGCAAGGATCCCTCCCTCTGTGGCCATGGATGTGCTCCCCAGGCTGTCCCATGACCAAGGTCCCTCTGCTCCGGGGAAGCTGTGTCTTCACTGGGAAATCAGGAGGCAGAGGAACAACTGCTCAGGAAGGCTCTTCAGGGAAATGGGCACTCTAATGCCCACACTCGGGACTCAGGGCTTGACAACATGTGACACAGCAGCTGGCAGAGGACACAGGGCTGGGGCCAGCAGGGGTGAGTGGAGCTGGTGGAGAGTCATGCCGTGAGGGAGGCTCCAGGGAGAGCAGGCTGGCAGAGGCAGGGAGGGTGTGGGGAGGGTGGAGAGCTAGCTCTGGCTCCTCCTGGGAGCTGTCTTGCCGTGCTCTGCAGTCAGAGGGCCCACTGCTACTCTGTAAGGCACTGTCCTTCTAAACCAGGAGAGCTCAGGGCTGAGTCTCACGGAGGAGGGCAGCCTCGTGGCATCTGAAACTCAGGAAAGACCCAGCCCTGAAAGAGAGGACTTTAAGGGTGAGTTGGCCCCTTCAAAATGCCCAGACCCACCCACCCCAGGAGGCCCACAGAGCAGTGCAGAAAGCACCCCAGACGGAGGCATGAGGCACCTGAGTCCATAGTCTGTAAGTGGCAGAGCCAGTTCTGTCCCAGTGTAAAAGCCAAGTTATGGAGGAAGACAGGCAAGACTTGAGGCTCTGGCAAAGACTCCCCCTGCGGGCACTTATAGAGCATTCTGTGTTTGCTCCTGCCCAGAGTTCAGCTGATGGAGCAAGCCCTGCCTCTCAAAAACAGACCTGTATTTGGTCATGTTTGGGCAACGGTGGATGTGACAGAGTGTGATGGCAGATGAAACAGGAGGAAAGGCACAAACTGGACCCCACACCTATCCAAGCACGGTCTTCAGGGGAGCACTTTGCATCGTTTCCCAACAATGGGGATGGTGTGTGCTGCAGCGTCTTACTCCTTCCTGGTCAGGATTGGGGCCAGGTCTTGTAAGCTGTTGGTCCAGGAGAGGGCCACAGTTAAAGCCATTGACCATAGTGACACTAAACAGTTCACAGCTGAGACATTTGTTTACCCCTCTGGCCTCTAATGAGACCCCAGAGAAGGTTCCTCCTCTCATCCTCTCATCAGCCACTCTCCCTGAACGGGGCATTGCACTGACCTCTAACGGCTGGTCTGCCCTCAGCCCATGAATCAAAAAGTGTCCTCTAACTTAAAATCCTTTCCACCTTTCCTTTCCACCCCAATCCCACCACATTGTCTTATGCAAGGGTACTGCAAAAGTTAGAGAAAACAGAATTAAAGTGCAAGTTTATTCTGGTGCACAAAGATTTGAAATCCATGTGATTTTTAATAACACGTGTTTTACATGAACTTTTTGAAGACTTCCTGTATGACCAGCCTGACGCTTTCAACTCTCCTGTCCTCCAGCTCCTGGAACACACACGGTTTCTATCATAAATCAGTCACCGGCATCTTATTTCCCCTCAACCCGTGTAGAAGCACTGGGAGGGCAGGCGCTCTGCCTGGCACAAACACCCCTCAGCACCCAGCCAGACTCGTACAATGCAGGCCAAAGCCTCGGGGCATACGTGCCAACATCTAATAGTATCTGACGTTTGTGGATCATCTTCAGCTTTCTAAACCCCTTTCACTTCATCTGACCCGACAGACAAATGGGCAAACATGCTGCAGAGACACACGCCTTCTTATGACTCACAGACAAAATACTTCTATACAACCTATGACTCTAAACAAAAATGACAAGTCATGAAGCATGAACTAGGTTTAAAGACTGATGTGGTCAGAAGGTAGTGCCATCACAACCTACCCGTTGGCTATGCTTTCTGCAAAGAGGTGTGAAAATTAGAACAGGGAGCAAGGGCCAGGCGTAAAGCGCGCTCAGTACTCTCTGTTCAAACTCCAGGCAGGCTTCTCATTTCTTCTTTGACTTAATTCCCTCCAAGAGACACACACCGACCAACATTCATTCAATCATCTCTCTAAATATTTGCTCAAGCATTCAACAGTGATTTGTCCAATACCTGCCTGTGTTAGGCACCCAGCTTCCCAATAGAACACAAGAGACCAAAATATTTGGTCTGGAGGAGACCACAGTTTTGTTTAAGGAAGCACTAGACACATAAATAACTGCTTAGAGCACACTGGGGTCAGTGTTACTGTTAGAAGATCAAGCAAAGCAATATAAGCATGAGAAATTATCATAGAGGAGGAAGATGTCATAGAGGAGGGCATTTGGAGTGGGGTTTTGAAGGGTGAAAAGCAGTGGGCCTAGAGGGTGGATAATATAAGAACACTCCTGGTAGCAGGCCCTAGTCTGGGGTAAGGGTTGCAGGTGATTGACTGCAAATGGTATGGGAGAGCAGCTTGGGAGATGTCCTATATTTTGACTGTGGTTGTGCTTACAGGGGAATACCTGTGTAACACATGGGAATGTACTTTGAAGATGATTGCATTGCTATTGTGTGCAAATTACACCTCAATAAAGTTGATTTTTCAAAAGGACAGGAAGGAGAGAGGGGAGGACAGGATATTCATGTTTAAAACGCATGAGCTCTGAGTCGTTCTTTGGAATAGCTATTCTAAGGAATTTTATGGCAGCTATGTGTCCCTGTATAGCCCAGACCATAAGGCCCACAATGGGACAGCCATGTTCTATTCATCTCTGTGGACACAACCCCATAGCACATGGATCAAACTGGCGCTCAGTGAAACTTGAATAAATGTATGAATGAAATGGGAGTAGGCCAGCCCACTGAGCAGGAAGATGCTGAATGACAGAACAGGCATCACAGAAGGAATGCAGGGAAACATCAATTTTTTAATTTTTTTTTATTTCACTTTAAGTTGTAGACTATTTCAATTATATTGAATACTATCAGACACCTGTATATTCACAAAGGTCAATCAAATGTACAACTCTTTTAATATTTTAAATGTTATAGAATTCCCAATATGATATATATATATAAGAAATATATTACTCACAAAATTCAACTGCAAATCTGAACATGAAAAGCCAAACAGTAAAACGTTTAGAAGGAGCCAGAGGATATCTGATTACCTTCGAGCAGATTTCTTAAATAAGACTCAAAAAGCACCATGCAAAAGAAAGCACTAGGCACATAAATAACTGCTTAGAGCAGTGAATCATAAAAAATGATTCTGTTTATCAAACAGCTTCGTTAAGTGTGAACAGACTCCCCACAGAATAAGAAAAGATATTCATAATTCGTGTATCTGACAAAGGACTCACCTGTGTAACTTATGAAGACCCCTATAAATTAACAAGAAGAAAACAGACAACCCACCCCCAGACAAGTGCAAAAGAGAATATCCAGATAGCCAATAAATACATGAAAAACAGCTTAGCAACACTAGTCAGTATGGGACATGCACATTAAAACCACAAAGATACATAACAGTGTCCGCTACAGAAAAGCTAAAATACAGAAAAAGGAAACTACTCCATATTAGCAGGAATATGGAGCAGCCAGAAGTGTCCTACGCTCCTTGCGCTACTTCAGGCACTGTCTGGAGTACCTCTAAAAACTGAACATGTGTGTGCCCTGTGGATTAGCAAGTCCACTACTAGGCGTGCACAGAGATGTTAGGTGCATTCTCGAGTCCCACAGGACATGTACTGGAATGTTCCTAGCAGCTTTGTTCCTAATAGCCAAAGGCTGGCACCTAGTCCAATTCCCATCAGTAGTAGAGCAGGTGAGTAAACTGAGGTTTAGTCACACAATGAAATACTAGTAAGAACGAATGAGCTGTAACTTCATGCACAGTATGGATGAATCTCACTAGTTTTATGTTAAGCAAAAGAAACCAGAAACAAACTGTACTAGTGTGTACATGTAAAGAACAATGCCATGCGAAACTAAGCTAAGCAGTTAGAATAACGATTTCCTGGGAGTGTGTGCTGGAAGGCACTCCTGGCCAGGGTCTTTGGAGTGAAGAGAACGTCTGTTCCTTGATCCAGGTGCTGGCTACATGGATGAGTTCACTTTGTGAAATCCGTAAGTTGAACACCTGAGCTCTGTGCTCTTTTCTGTGCACATGTTATAGTCCAACGGGAAGGCTTTCAGTGTCGCAGAACACTAGCATCGAACGTGCGGACAGAGGAACACCAGGTAGCAGAAGAGATTGTGAAGGCGGAGCAGGAGAAGCCGAGAGCAAACAAGGAGGAAAGAACAGTGTCAGGGACTGCAAATGATTAAGGAAATGACCTAAAATTGGCCATGTGTGGACACTGAGGAAGCCCCCTGGAAATGGGGATGGACAGAGCAGGCTGCCCAGTGGAGTTGGCAGAGTGAACAAGCTGTGATGGTCGAATTTATGATTTTGGCTCCTCTCCACAAGAAGTGAAAAGGATTACGCCCCTGAGGTGTCTGGGGCCTAGAGAGAGGACCCTGGTATGGTCTGCCCAGAGTCACGCTGACCAAAGCTCACAGACGCGGATGAGCAGACATGGACCCTGGGAAGCTACGGAACATCCAGAAGGGACAACAGCCCTTGGGTCATCAGGTTGTACCCTCTGCTCCTCTGAGCCAGGCTTGAGCAGGGATGTGACTGGGGAAGTGGGGAGATAGAAGAATGGCCATGGGCCAATAGGGACGCAAGCCCCTCCTCCTGTGGGGGTGCAAGAACAGGCTCAGCTAGTGTGGTTTGTGGGCCTGAGGGTCCAGCAGTGGGTTTCAAGGTGCTGGAGGCCTGGACTCAGTTGGACCAGACAAGTCTGTGGCAAGAAGATGGAAGCACAAAGGGAATGCTGAGGATGCCGTGGGTATCCAGGGACCAAATAGGCTGCAGAGCTGAGATCCAAGGGAGCCTGAGACGGTTAGTAGATGGATGAGAACAGAGGCAGAGCCAGGCTCTAGGAGTGGGGTGAGGCTGGTCCTTTCTCCATCCTGCCGGGCTCCACACCTGGGCTGGCCAGCAGTCCCCACCCTCCCTCATCCTTCTCTATCAGTGCCTTGTGATGTCCTCCACCCCCAACAGGTTGCTCTCTGAGGAAACAGCCTCTTT